GGAGTCTATCGGTGGGTAGAACTTGACGCCGGTCATGGAAGATAGTCTGCCGTATCTGGAGTCTACTCCAGCAATGCTCCCGACTCCCATCCCATTGCTGACGGATGCATGAGCTGATACATGATGAGGTTGTGATGACTTCGCTCCTGTCGTAGATTCCTTTGGTTTGTTTGCTTGCTCTGATTTTCCGCTGGTTGCGCTCTTTGATTTCAGTTCCACTGGAAATATAAACAAACTTTTTAATACACAAATCAGATTCTTATTATGTCTGTACAGTCTTCGTTTCAACAGAAATTAATATAAAAGTCCACAAAATAATTCAAATTAGATTTCCGTTCAGAGGTTAATTATTTCTAAAAACTTGTCAAAGAAGTTGTCTTCAAAGCTATTATAATATTTTACAGAACAAAAGATGAATGAACAGTTACCTGCTCCCGATGCTGCTACGACTAATAAATAAATAACACAGACACGTCCAATCTTATTCATGTTGCAGACCAAACAGAAATGCATGACAAACATCGATCTCTCACTTTATATCCTCATCGTAAAATTACAAGTTTTCGGCTTTATAGCTTAAGAAACGGTTCTTAATATAGACGAGACGGTACGACAGATCTGTTTTTTTAAAGATAATTTCCCTGCTATTATTTTACAAACGTAGTTTTGATTATCCGTTCATAGTTCTTGAATGTAGTAATCATACGTTGAGGGCATCGGTGAGCAATTCAAGTGTGAAGCAATTACTTATGTTTTTCTTTTATACCGCTGCGATTTGAGGTAACAGTACAATGATTGTTTATGTCTCCAGTACAAAAAGTTTGGCGATTATTTGAGCTTTAATATGACCATTATTATGATTTGCATGTTCTAGAGAAGGAAATATACTATTATTTTTATCGATATTTTCAATTTACTCTTCGTGTCGGCCTACCTAAATAATCATTACATGAGTACCGTAAAAAACTAATATACCTTTAATAGATCTCACATCTAACGGACATTTTGATTGATTGATAAACAAATCGTTCTGCCCACTTGTTTAATTAAAATCGCCCATTAAATTCTTTGGTGAACAATATAAATAATTTACGATATTTGTGTTACATTTTACAGTTGCGACCTAATGCTTTCTTTTATGTTTATGTCTACTTAGTCATAATTTTATGGCGACACATACCACCTACACGTAAGCAATGACTTCATTCGAGTATTCTAGAGCAAAAATCTTTCTCTTTTTATATATCTACATATTATGAGTGTTAATTTCAAATTTTTATCTCAAGGAAAATTTTTGTGTATTCTTTTTAAAATGGCGTAAAAAGCGACACATCTGAGCGTGCTGTCTTTTTGATCGTCTTTGAATTGCGTGCAGTCTTAATCGTTGAATTTATACCGTGTTTTGCCTTAAATATAGCAGCAAAAATGAGTCATCATGAATATTTTTAAGTCGTCATAGAAAATAATTAATTAGTTATTGCCAAAACACTTTTTAGCTGTTTCTTCTGTGTTGGTTTTTAATATAGATCTTTTACTGATTTTTACTCTTTAGTGTTTTTAACCATGACCTGATATATTGACCTCAAGATGCCGTTTGAAGAGTGACAAACTTATCTTCCGATATATTATATGTATTATAACACCCATATGTTTAAGATGTCTCGTTTTTAAAATCATTTGTCTAACTTTTAACATATTAATATATACCCAAAGATACATATTAAAATGCTTCTCGCGCCATCAATTTCTTTTTAAACAGTATCCTAGACGAACAGGAACTCGTTTAGATTTATGGTAAATGCCTTCAAAGCAATCCGTAGTTACGCCTCAAGTAATTACTTCAAGCGATAATTTGCTATCATATAAATCTAAATTTACACCGTTTCAGATGTAATCTATGGATTTTTTTGTAGTATCATGATTTAAGATAACGGGTCTTCTTAATCTTGTTGAATACATTTGTCTACTTATTAATCCATTAGAGATTGTGGCAGCCTCATTTGTTACCACCATCTGTATGTACGGTGGGCGGTACAGTTACCTATCAGCTAACGTTTAGCCACCTATAATTCTTTTGCGTTAACAAAGTAATCGATGCTTCATTTACTTATGAGACTGGCCTACCGTGTATTTTTGAACTGATACCGATTGAGAACTCCACGGTCTCTTTGTGTCTTAATTAGCAGTGAAAAATTATTGAATTAAAAATATCCGGACGAAGAAAAGACAAATAAGTACGTAAATACCCAAGTCTCTAGTTGATAGTCTTTTTTGTTTAAGCTCCATATAAGTTCCATACAAAAGGTAAACATGTTCATATTCAAATCAATTTATATATTAACCCTCAATAATTTGTTTCACCAATAAAACTTTAATATAATAGAAAAAAAATATTAAATTCCACTTAGTATTCAAATTGTAACAAAATATTATTCTGTTTTAAAAAATCTGCGTCTCCTTTTATGTTTGTACAGCTAACGACATCTGTCTTTTCATATTAGAAGTACGTAAGAAGTGAGGTAAGTTGATCGCTACTTTACATTGTTACTTGGAAACTTTCTATTTACTTAAGTAGTACCAAAGAATGCCGCTAGGACACACGCTACAACATTTGTAAGCTTCTGATTAACATTCACATTTGCTGAAATATATTTTTTTTAATACGAGTTTAGGTTGCATTTAATAAATATAAACACAAACATTCTTATTCATGTAAACATCAGGACCAAAAAAAAATCAAAAAAAGAACAGTTATTTGTTTTTTTCTGTACCGTGAGTGATCCACATTATTAAAACATTTTTTCGTTTCATAATGTGCTTAGAAATAGTAAATAAAAAATGTTATTGTTGATGAACATAATAAATAAACAAAAACAGATTGGATGGATTTCATATCAACTTATTTTTAAAATATCTGTAGACTGCTTGACGCTACAAAACGAGTAGCTTGACCGCTGTTCGGTCATTAAATTTTATTACTGAGACCCGCTTTACACATATTTAAAGCACAATTTAATCATAATAAAGATATCTGCATTAAATTATGTATGTTATCTTCGGTACGGTTACCTGAAATTTGATCATATGATGGCCCTGTTGATATGAAACGACTTTAAAAATCTATTAAATTGAGAAAACATAATTTTCGAAAGTATGAGGTTCGATCCTCAAAACCAGACTTTTTTTATGGCATAAGCCGGTAAACGAGCAGGCGGTTCACCTGATGGTAAGCAATCGGCGTCGCGCATGGACACCTGGAACACCAGAGGCGTTACAAGTGCGTTACCGGCTTTATGGGATTATTATTTAGGAGTTTGAGGATCGTTGGAGATTCAGAAATTGGGGAGATTGGGGAAGGGGAGGGTAATTGGGCCTTAAGCCTTAACTTAAGATCAAACCCCGTATTTAAGACCAAATCTTTCCAAAAATTTGGGGAAGAAAACTGACACCTGTGTTAAAGAACTTGATTATTTTTTTATCTCAATCAAAATGAGTCATGGGATTTTTTTATAATATTATATATTAATTCTCCACGGACTCTAAGTCCGTGCCTTTGTCATACAATTTTTTTATTATAATACATCTAGTCAATTTCTATAAAGTAAAGAGGGAACCTAGTTACACACTACAATTAACTACATTATTACCAAAAGAATAAATTACATAATAACTAGGCACTATTGAGTCATGGGATTAAAACCTTGACATTTTGCTTCATTGATTTATTTACAAACAGTATCATATGAGACGTTGACCCAGGCTTTATTTTATTTATAAATTCATAGTATCCTAACGCTAAAAGACTTGAGCACTAAAACCTAATTTATGTTCAGCTGAATCATTTTTTAACCTCGCGTAAAAGCCTGTCATGTCACGTATTATTTAGATTTCCGAAATTCTGTGATCAATATTAAACAGCATATATCACACTTTTTATTCTCTATAAAATTTAGATCAGACTGTCTCATTGGTCGTGTGATCACAAGTGCTAAATGGCCTCGGGTTCGAGTCCTAGGTCAGAAGTCTTGGTTTTATTGAAAAATTATGCCCGTGATGGTAATTGGTCTATTTTTTATTACATGGGAGTCGTAAATGACACAGTGAGCTTTACAGCTGGTAAAGACATAGTTGATGGTTAATGCGCCTTTGCCATTTAGGGGATTGAAAAAAATAAATATATTAGATATGTTTTTTGAAGAGATAGGGCGAAAAACGAGCACTATCAGATATCAGATGATAGTAAAGAATTCGCGCCGCCCATAGATACAGGACACTTTCAATATTGGTTGCATCCATGATCGTTAGGGCAATTGTTGTGCATTAAGGAAATATGATTACCTATTTAAAAGGGCAGGTATTAGCCCTCAGACTAGTTCATCAACATGAAAGACGTACTTGTTAATTATCTTATACTATTATATAAATCGGAAGAGTTTTTTTTTTGTTTGTTTGACCGCGCTAATCTCCGCAACTACAAGTCTGATTTGAATAATTCTTTTTGTGTTGGATAGCGCATTTATCGAGGATGGCTATAGGCTATAAAACATCACGCTACGACCTATTGGTCGCAGAGCGTGTGAAAGCGTGCAGAAGTAGCTAGTACTTTATAATATGTCGTAGTAGCAAACTTTTTCTTTATGCCAAACTTGAGATTTAATTTAATTTTATTTTTCTAGAAACAGGTACGCCACTAAAATGCGTCTTTATCTCTGATCACAAATCAGATATGATTTAAGAACTAGAAATGCATTAGCCGTTATCCGTCGAACCATTCAAAACCCGCCTTGCAACAAATACCATTGAACTTGTAATTCCTTTGCGATATCAGACTACATTGTCTAAAGTCAAGCCATGATTTAGTACCAACAGATGATATTAATCTCCAAACATTTCTAAATCACGTTTGAGTTAGTAAGATAGTTCATTCACCTTTCAATGTATATAATAAACCATCGTTCGACCCATAGCATCCTATATAAACGGTTCATTGTGATCTCAGCACTTATTCTTTTATTGAATTTAACTACGAATTACTATTGAAAGATATAATGTTTGTTATAAAGGCGTTGTTCTCTGTTTTGTCTGTTTTTCTTTCGGTGGAAGCTGTCCCTGTGGTTTTTAAAGGTAAGTTTAATTGTTATTATGATGTTTAGTAATAATGTATAGAGAAATTCATAACTGTAAGCACTTTGCTCAAGTGTTTAATTGCCCCTTTATTTTAAGTCATAGCGTAGCTATTCTCATATAATATTTTTGGAAGTTGTATCTTTACAACAATGCTAGATGTCTTTTACTGATGTGTTTGAGTTACCCGTGTTTCATATATTTCTGTAGAAGATGACACAAAATTAATTATTGTTCCAGAGTCAACACCTAATGGAGAAGCCATAGTCGCGATATCATCTTCCGATCCCAACGTAGAGAAATATTTTACTGAACAATTTGCAACGAGATCTGGTTTCACACAACTGCACCCTGAGGAACAAAATCGTCCATACAACAATGGACCTAATGGACAAGGTGTACATTCAAGCTTCAGTATCGCCGTACCTGGCAAGGCTGTAGCAGGAGCAGGGAGAAGCTTCGCATCAGCGTCTACTGGACCTTTTGTCCCACTCTTTGCATTTCCAATAGCTCCCGAGGGCTTCGGATTTAACAACTTTGACCTCAAAGACTGGGTTCGAAACGTTGAAAGCTTCTACAACCCACACTTTGCTGGCAACGGCCAAGTAAATACTGCAACAGCAATCAACGATAATGGTCACATTTACGGTAATGTAAACAAAGTCACGTTCGATAATAGAGAAAAAAGCACTGATGATTTTAATAGTATGGTAAAGAAACCGGACAATTCAGATAAAGTTGTATCACCTTTTGATAAGAACATGAAGAACAATGCCATCACTGACAACAAAGGAGGTTACAGAAGTTTTTAAGTGCGTCTTTGTTAGTTAGAACTATCTAATACTGATTTGTCAATTATTTAACGATAAGTTTCATATTAATTAAGTTAAGAATATGTTTCAGTAATAAACACAATTTAAAAATCACGGTCTTTATTGATTTTTTCACTTAAAGCTAATCACAATATTTTCAAAGATGTTGAGACAAGTTTTCTTCGTCGTCTCAACATCTTTTTATATCCTAGAGAACACTTCAGAAGAATCCAGAGTTGACAGCGTGGGAGTGAGCAGCCTGGAGACCGGGAGCGTTGATGCTGGTCGCACCACTGTGCTGGATACCACCAGAGCGCTGCTGGGCAACCTGGGCAGTGCTGGCACCGTATCCTCCGATGTTCTCAGCAGCAGACACGGCTGAACCGTAACCATGACCCCTGGTCTGGGCAGAAGACACTGAGGATCCGAAGCCAGAGTTGTGAGCTGAAGACAGAGCTGATCCATAACCACTGTTAGCTGAAGAAAGAGCTGATCCGTATCCATGCACGTTCTGAGCAGAAGAGACGGCGCTGTTGAAGCGAGCGTGGCCACCACTCTGGGCAGAGGAGACGGCAGATCCGAAGTTGTTGCCACCAAGAGACTGGGCAGAAGACACAGCGTTGCCGTAGCCGCCGAAGTTCTGAGCAGAGGCGACTGCGGACTCGTAAGCTGGTTGAGGTGCTTGGTATACGTGGTGGTGAGGTGCTTGGTACTGTACTGGGTGACTGTTGCCAGCGCTGGCAATTCCTACACCACGAGCATAACCACCGTTGGAAGATCCAATGCCCGCACCGTAAGCTTCACCCTCTCCAGACTGGAACGAGGCACCAATGCCAGTGGAGTGGGAGATGCCACCGATGTTGCTGCTGAAGCCGCTGCCGAAGCCGTAGGAGATGCTTGGTGAGCGACCGATCCTCATGACCACAGCTGGGACACCTGCAAGATATAACAATACAAAATGATTTTCTAAAGCAAACCAAATTATAATTGATTCAAACTAATTAATGAGCTGAAGTTAAATTATGGTCACAAAATGTAATTAGGATAGTTATTTTGTTTACTGAACCTGACATTGTGAAAAAATTTGTATTATCTGATCCAAGTTGAATAATTACATCAGCCACTTACCATTGTACCATACTGGCAATGCATTGCAAGCAGCAAGGATGGTAGCAAGGACGATGAATTTAGCGGCCATCTTTACTTTCTTTTCCAAGGATGTCTAGACCTTTCCTCAGGTGGTTGTGGATAGTTGTGAAACATTCCCCTCAGCTTATATACTAGACACATGAGCCCCCCCACTCAAATCTGACTGGGTCACCACTACACCCAAAGCCATTGACACTCATAAACAAAATTTATCTAACGAGTTACGGTAAACAGTTTTGATGGGTACAGGTGATCCGATACCATAAATTGTGCGAGTATCATCTCTAAATTGATAAGACAACTGATTAATTGGGAGCAATAAAACGAATTCAGTTGATTTAAGAAAAAAAACTAAAAAGGATCCTTAATTAAAATATTTTCTAATTCGAGTGGACGACGGAAAGCATTATATCATTTCTAATTAAATCTTCCAAGTGGTGGACATAATGGCTCGAAACATAAATGTCACAATTTGTGTTAATTAATAAAGAAATCGATGAAAAGATTTCGTCTGTTAATCAAGTTTTTTATTTGATGATACCGGTGTCAATAAATGAGACACTAATGTCAATAGATTTTTAAATAATTCTCCTGAAGGAAATTCCTATAGGCACGTTAATTAAAAAGGATTTCACATTCGTAAGGAACTGGTTTTCATAGAGTAAGTATTTTAAATAGGCTTACTCAGATGTACCTAAAGAACAAAATTTTACATAAGGTCAGCTTGAGATACTCATAAGTACCTATATTTATTTTCCATGCACTTAACATTTGATGCTCAAATATTGCTGCTGAGAAACGGCCTTTCCTCACACGAGTAACATGATAAAAATGTTCTTTTACAAAATATTCAGTCAGACCTATGTACTTATAGGTATAATGATACTAATTTCATACAATACATTGTCTTATTTACAGGTAATGTCGTTCACTTTAAACATTCTAAGGTAAGTGCTCTGTTTTCTAGATGGTTTACGAAGATCCAGAAAGCGTTGTTATGGTAAAAACTATTTTGAAGACCATTTAATAACGTATTCTAGAATTAGCTAAAATTTATATCCAGGCGATCAGTTACGGTTTTTTTTCCAATTAAAACGTATAGTCATAATATTTTTGCTCCTAATAAGCTCATTAAAATGTCGATACTATGAGTTAAAGTATCGCATGAAAAATGCATCGATGTAGTCTCAATAGTAATAAAAGTTAATGATGCCCACAAATCAATAATTTCGTTTGCTGCATCCTTTCGAGAGATTATTACTTCAGTCTTAGGTCAGAGACCTGATGGAACAGGCAAATGATCTAAAATTTATACATTATCATAAAACATTCCTAATTTTATAGAGGATGTGAACCATTTATCAATAAAAGCCTTTATATGGACTTAGAGATCTCATATTGATTATCATAAAGTAGTCGTCAAATTTATCCATAAAAGATTTTAATCAAAATAAAAAAGAGCTTTCGGTAAATCATAAAAACATTATTTATTGGATTCGTTATTTCTGTACAATATTTTAATCATATTTACAAATTTCATTTCGAGCAAGATCACACTTAATTCACTAACCTAACACATTAAAATGGTTATCACAGTTTTTCACTTGATGTACATAAAATTAAATAGGTACTTCATTTATATAAAAATACAAAGAGTAAACAATAAAGGTATCCGGTGAAACATTTCAAAACAAAAGACATTAAATAAAACCTAACCTATTCGTTTTAACGCACTATAAACTACAGTTAATCATTCAGTTTTACTCTCAGCGACAGCAGTGGCACTAGCGCTGGCACTAGCGCTGGCACCAGCATTGGACCGAGCGAACCCAAAGTTGTCCTGATAATCGTAATCTTCACCATCATACCCGTCGCCTCTGAATCCAAAACCTTGGAAACCATAGCCTCCTCCACGAGGACCAGAGTAATAGTTTCCATTGAATTGAGCGTTGTAGCCTCCATTGCCATTGCTATAACCTGGCCTGTAGCCATTGTATCCATGGCCTTCATAACCGTTGTTGTAATAGCCCTGGTTGTATCCTTGGTTATATCCATGGTTGGGATACCCATTTTGTTGGTAGTTGTGTGGATAATATCCATTTGCATGACCACCACTGCCCTCGTTGGCCGAAGACTGCGATTGACTGATGGCTATGTTTATCGGTGGCTGGTATGGCCCTTGATAACCAGGGTATCCTTGATATCCTTGGTATCCATGGTAACCTTGGTAACCCCCTTGGTAACCACCGAAACCTTCGCAAATTCCATACTTTTTGCACAATTTCTTCTTATGTAAAGTGCGAGGTTCTCTCACTAAGCTGTCAGATTGCACGTTGGTAGCATCTGGAAAAGAATAAATGATATTAAAATGTAATTTCAAATTATATTCGAACCACTTAGATGTGCTAAAATGCAAAAAATTAAGGTGTGGCTGTTTGGCACGACCGAAATCGACATCTACTCTATAAAACATTCGATTAAACTAGTACAACGCTTATGTATAGTCACGCCCTTTATTTATGGCAGAACCTCCCACAGGAAGTGTGTCAGTTAGATCCAAATGAAAATACACTGTTACTATCAAAACTTGCAAAAACGTTAAGCAAATATGTTAAAAGCATGAGAAGGGTAAAGATGACGACACACGAGAAACAAATGAAGGACAACCCCTTTGTACTTGTAAAGAAGTTGAGAATCATCTTCATAAGATAAAAAAGCGAAATGATTGTTATTTAGTTATGAACATAGTTCTAGTGAATCATCATACCCTAATCCAATGTCACGTAAGTAGACCATCCAATTACCTACTACGCAAACGACAATTACCGCCAATTATCTAACGGTATCGAAACTGCAAGTTTTATCGATTGATCGTGACCCCAGAAAGCAGATTATAGAGTATCGATAAATTACTACCTTCGGCTAGAGTTGGGCTGCATCCCGCAAGTGCGATGGCAAAAAACAATGCGCGAATGTACACCATGTTTTATTGTTTATAGTGTGTTCCGTTAAATGTGTTTTATTTTTTTGCTAGAGCAGCTTTATAGGTCGGCCTGGAGGTCGTGCCCCACGCCTCGACAACTCGAGACATTGAGGTTTTATTCGGTAAAATCCCACGGAAGCAAGCCAATCGTTATAAAATTGTAAACAATACTGTATTTGTCGACCGGAAATTCTTTATTCAAATGATGATAGGAAGTGATATGTATCAGACGAACCTATTCTTCTTGGTCAAAGAAATTTCCTGGGGTTTATGGGATTTAATTACAATCAATGAAGGCTTACTGTTCTGTTATTTTGTACAAACATACATCACACATCAACAGCTTATATGTGGCCACTTCTGACCAAAGGCCTCTTTTCACACGGAGAAGGTGTGAGCATTAATCACCACGCTTGCTCAATGCGGGTTGGCGACTTTGAATTTATCATTAGAAATTATAACCCCAGGTTTCTCCACGATGTTTTCCTTCACCATTTGTCAGTGGCGTCTAAATAATCTTAGAAAGTACATATAACTCGGAAAACGTCACATTGGTAAGTACCAATGTCACAAAGATATTAATTTTGTACCATACGAAATGATTGATAAGTTTCAGTACTCACTTCGTTGTAATGTTTAAGATAATCTGAACTTAATCTGCCATCTACTCATATTACTACCAAAGTGAGTGCCAATTTCAGTAACCTGTTTATTAAATTAGTTTTATCATTTAAAGGCATTTCTTAGTTATTATTATTACCTGTATAGATAGCATTTATGGCTGTCGTACCCAAGGTCTTGGATTGGTCATCGTTCATCATAATATTACGCAATACTTAAACTCTGTTTAATGAAGTTATGAAATGATCTGTGGCGATCAAATGATTACATTACAATATTAACCTTGATCTTGATTGTTAAGTAACAGTTAATGAACTTGGTCTCGTTTCACTCCGTCAGTAATTAAGTACAAAGATCCGGT